TTGTAAAGTTTATACTGTTCGTAGTGTGAATTAAAACACGCACTGGTTTATTAACGAACTAAACTATTTATTCTTATAACTTAATTACACTTAAAACACTATAAAAGCACTAAACACTTAACTACTAATTATTTATATATCACTAATAGTTTATTTATTTGCACGTAGATTTATTCTTTTCGACGCGAGTACCAAAACTTGACTGACTCTCCATAATGCGTCGTTCCTTATATATTAAGCGCCTTCGTCTTCTGGAACATTCCAGCGAGCTCCACACTCCCGATTATTCGAGCGCTGACTCACCGGCGATGACTCATCGGCGATGAGTCATCATTCCGATATCCAGAGCCGTACTCACTACAATATATAGTTTCTTTTTAAATATTACCAATAAGATTCATTTTATCAAAAACGTAAAAAAAACGGTTTTGACGTTTTTGGTGTGCGATAAAACTAAACCGTTGTCATTTCCACGTTGAGTGCTAATGTAATATCCAATCAAAAAACCTCCCAGGCTGTAAACATAATTTAGACCAATCAGGTTTTTTTTTTCATAAAAAACCCGTTTTTAGTTTTAATAAGTACATATGGTATAATTATTGTACGTTTATATGGTATAATTATTGTACGTTTTATGCATATGTATTATAATGCATTACATGTAATCAGCCTTATGACATAAATAACTATTGTCCCCATAAACTCACTTGGAATTGAGACAATATACTATCGAAAAAAAAAAATAAACAAAGTAAGATATTGTTACATCTTTGTTTCACTATTGAAAGTTTCAATTTGAAACAATGAAAAAGAAAAAGAAGACAATAAATTACAGAAAGGAAATTTTACTTCAGCACTGCGCGTCAAAATTAACCCATAACAAGTTAAAAAAATCTAAAACGCCTTTACCAATCTTTATAAAATTTTGGAGAAAAACACTTTAACTTATATCTCAGTTTACGTGTTCAAGGGTTTTTCGATAAAATATCCATAAAGCCCTTTTATTTTAAAAAAACTTTTATAGGGAAATTTTTTTTAAGTAAATAAAAAATATGATGTGAAGGACCGTATTTTTGTTAGCATACCCTGAAAATTTTGTACAAATCAAACAGTAACAAAAATACAGCGCTTCAAAGTCGTCCAAAATAATCAAAAAGGGGTCATTTTTACCGACTTTGAAGCGATGTATCTTCGTTACTGTTCGTTTGATTTGTACAACATTTTCAGGGTATACTAAAAAAAATACGGTCTTTAACAGCTTATTTTTTATTTTGTTAAAAAAATTCCCCAAGTAATTTTTCGAAAGCTTTTTATTATTAAATAAAAGGGCTTTAAAAATATTTTCTCGAAAAATCCTCGAACACGTAAAGTGATATACCTATAAGTTGAAGTATTTTCATAAAAAAGTTTATATACGTCAAATTGGTAAAGGCGTTTTATTGAATTTTTTTACTTATTATGCTTTAATTTTATACATTTTATATTATTTAAAAATTTAAAATGTGCTCATGAGGGTTGATTTCTGATTATAAATTCTGTTATTAATTTAGTTCTTTTTTAAGGTATTTATTGTGTAGTTTTTGTAAAAATAAAACAAAACCACTTTAAAATTCCTAGCGTTCGATATGAAATTCCAATAATCGTAAAAATGCAAATGCACTTATACCAAACATATATGTTTTATAGAAATAAAAATGAGTAGTATACACTGCTCGCGCAAAAAACGCAATACGTAAGGAACAATCTAAGTTCAGTCGACAGTTTTTCTAGTGGTTCCAAATTTTTTTTTTAAATCTATAGCACATATGCTCTTTTTAGTAGATGTTATCAATTGGCCATTTTTGACAAATTTAAAGACAACCTTTTTTAAATCATATCATTTAATAAAACCTTTTTTAATCATATTAAAGATTTTGTACATTTCATATACGTTTTTAACTTAGTCTTAAACTATGTAGATAATTAATCTCTTTCTTCGCGGTTACTGTCCAATGAGACGACGAGATTTTAATTTTTTCCACGGTAGTATTTATCATTACTGTGACGTTTATACAATGGTTCTTGTATAAAAAATTAATTGACACTGACATTTGTCATCAAATCTGTGGTTATGGTAGTTACCTAAAATTATGAAATGGCCATTTCCATGAGGATGAAATATTGCGATGCGAACCTAAGGCGAGTGGAGTATTTCATCCAAAATCTTGCTTAATCGTTGAACATACAGTAAAAAAGTATTTGTTAATTTTAACCAATTGTTAACTAGATTTTATATTAATCCAGGTCCACATAACTTTATTTAAAGTTTACAACCAACAGTAATCTGTTAACTAATTGAATAAGTGGTTTGTAATTATATAACAAACATTTTGTAGATTTAATAACAAAATCCTATGTCAATATTTTAACCATAATTCTTGTAATTTTGTATTTTTACAAACCTTTTTGTAGACCCAGTAACAAAAGTATTTTTTGTAACTTTCGGAAGTTAAATGAAAAGAATTTTAATTTTGCTTTTTTCGTCAATTTCCCAAACAAAAAAATTAACACATACCTACATAAATGAACTCAAAAAAAAACATTATTTCGTCTCCGCTTTTCTTAAATTTCGTTCGTTTTCCTCACCAGCATCGATAAACAGCTGTTCCCTTTATTGGAACATCAGTACCGAGTTGCTGTATGGTGCGGAACACGAAACGAAATTATGATTTCTCGTCCTTATAAAGGTTTTGAAATCATTCACTTCGGTGAGGCGAAAGTAAGTGGTGCCATCTACCGTCTTAAACATATAACATAAAGAACATGTCAAAAGACGGTAGATGGCACCGCTTACTTTAGTCTCACCGCAGTGAATAATTCTGAAACCTATATAAGGATGAGGAATCATAATTTGGTTTGTGTTCCGAACCATACAGTTAGTTAAACTTGTTAATGCGTACTCTAAATGGAAAATGTTTTGATTGACTGCCTGAAATCGCGTAATTTTTTTACGAAATAATTTGTAAAGCATTAACAAAATAATCTGTAACCTTTTAAATTAACAAAATGCTTACAAAATGCATATTACCTTTACAAAACTTTTGGTAAAATATTTTCCTTTGTTAAAATAATTTAAACCCTTGTTTGCTACAAAAAATTATGTTAAAATTTTACAAAATAAAATTAGCAAACTACAAACTCATGTTAACAAATCTGATTTTTATAACAGTAGGTACAACACAGAGAAAAGTAATTTCTTGATTTAAGAAAATGCATTTATTTGAAACAGTTTTTCTTGTATGAAGTAAAATTGTCTTATTCGTAGTAACTTCTTGTTTACAATAAGAAAATACTATTATTTGGTTGTAAATCATGAGTTTCTTGAAAACAACTTATTGTTGTGATTAATTGTAAAGAAATATTTATTTAGAGCAATTAATTAACTTGTTTGGATATAGGTTGTATGGATTTAGTTTTATCAAATGTTAATACAAGCATATAATATCTTATTTTAACAAAATAATAGAATTGATACAATGTATGTCATATAATTAACGTAAACACGTGATTTGTTTGTTTCAAAAATACATTTACTTGAAGCAAATACATATTTATTTGCTTTTATGTCCACGTGACTCTCGGAGCCAATTAGAGCATTTGACTCCAAACAAAAAGACGCTTGTCCGGCAGCCGGCAGCATTTGCAAACAAACTCGCAGAGCGTCCTTGGCAAAGCGTTAAGACTCTTAACTTAAGAGAAGAGAAGGTGTTTAATCAACGGTTATAGTTTTGTGTTTATGTTTAATAGTATGGAAGAATTCTTCAAAGAAAATAATTTAACCCATTTGCTTTTTAGTTTTGTTGGTAAGTAAAAGTGATTTAGTTAATTAAAATTTTGTGTACCTAGGTAGTTTGGAAACTACAAAGTTATATGATAATATGGGTACCTATTTTATTTTGGATCATGCATGTATCAGACTTGACTTGTTGCTTTTAAATATAATTGCACATTTTACTTACAGGCCATAAACTAAAAATAAACCGTTTCTTTTTGTATTTGACAAGTGCAAGTAATTTTGGTTGGCAAATTTGTTTTTAAACTATAGGTACCTACCTAGGAAGGTGTTTTCAACAAAGATACCTATCTGATAATAATAAATTAAGTTTTTGAAAATGTTCAAATGTCCCATAAATATATTTCCTGAATTAATGCGAACACGTTTAACGTTCTGCTGAAAAATTGCTTGTTTTAACTTATCCTCTTATGACTTTTACCCACAGACTTGGTGTATTTTATTAATGCGGTGCATTAATATTTACACTGAACTTCAGTGACTGAAGTATTTTTTGTTCCTATTTTTGTCCGCTCATATATTATATGTTTTGTTTATTGTTAATTTTATATTGTGTGTTTTTAATGTTTATTGTAAATACGTATTTACAACAAAACAAGTGTACACTTGTTTTGTTCAAATAAAAAATATTGGAATAAACGTTTTTTAATTTAATTTTCCCGACCAAATATCAAGTAATTAACAACATTAAAATAAATAAATCATAGTATTAAAACAAACAAACATTTGTTTGGTTCAATCACTATATATTATAATATTAAAAGGTACTAATTATTTGTCTGAAATAAATTGTTTTCTTCATGTAAGTAAATATTTTGTTTCTTTAAGAAAGCTTCACATTTAATTTAAAAAAATGAATTACTTACTTCAAGTAAATGTTTTGTTTCTTTAAGTAAGATTCTACTAAACCTGAGATAAAAAGTCAACTAAATATTTACTTGTATTAAACAAACCATTAGTTTAAAAAGTCAAATAAACCCAAGTTTTCCACTAAATAAATATCTTCTTGTATCATATCGAAATAAATAATTTATTTGAGTCAAGACAGATATAGTAAAATCAAGAGATTACTTTTCTCTGTGAATATACTATTAAAATGGCATTGGGTTTTTTGCGAGCAGTATATCTACACAGAAATCTTATAAGAATATTGTTTCTTGTGTTTCAGCGAAACAAACGATGTGAATACTGGTCTGCTGATCGAGGTATGGAGCAAGGGAATGATTTGGGATCGGGCGCTCGGCTATCACTGGATCCCGCTGCAAACTGTTCAGTATTCGAACGACGTGAGTGAACAAATTCTGTTAATCCCAAAGATACTTTGTTTTGCTTTCGGTTCTGCCTCCTCGATACAACAACTATTATTAAAACAGACAAATACAATTAATTTAAAATTTTATTTTAATAATATATAGTACATTCTTAAAAGTATATCGTTTAAAACTGTAAAATTCTCCTTTTATTTTTAACTAACTATCACCCGCGGGCTCCTCTCCGCTTTATTGTTTTGCATTACCTGAAACAGATTGGATCATAAAATGAGGTTTTCAAGGTGCAATTTAAAAATCCATTCTTAAAACGTATATTATACTAGACTATATCGAAAATATGGTTTGGGTGACAAAAATAAATTATTGTGAAAGAGTCCATAATATTAATATTAAGAGGTCTATCATCGCACTTTTAAATTTTTTTCCTGAGAGAGTTTTTGTCTCATAACTCCCAAACCATTAAGTTTAAATTGACTGAGATATATTTTTTTTAAGGAAATTAAATGCTTTACAAAAAAGGTTAAGTTGAAATTTTCCTTCAGATGAACCGTTTCCTTAAAATCATGCCTTATAAATTGATATAGTTTTACATTTTGATCTTTTAACTTTGGAATTTTGTAATTCATGTAAAAATCAGTACCCAGAAAAAAACGGATAAATATTCTTATGGGAAATCAAATGCTTTATCAAAAAAGTCTCTTAGCATTTTGGCTAAATTCACTCAATCAAAAGTTATTCAAGGTTAAAGTTGAAGTCAAAACGAAATTCTTGTTTTTTCCTCTGTAGATTTATTTTTTTATGGATGATAATTTGATTTTTTTCTTTATACATGTGTATTATATAACTAATTAACAATTTATAATAAAAAAAAAACATGATTGTTATTATTTAAACGATTAAATAGGTAACAGTGAAAATAATATTTTTTAACGAAAATAGCTCCTTAAAGCGAAAAAAATTCGAATGTGTTATTTTTTTTTAATTTTCAGTAATTTTATAAATAACATCGATAAAAGAATTCAAATTTTTAACTGACCCAAAAAAAGTCTAGAGCGAAAAAAACAAGAATTTTGTTTTGACTTAACTTTAACCTTGAATAACTTTTGATGGAGTGAGTTTAGCCAAAAATGTTTTTACCTATAAGAATATCTATCGGTTTTTTTCCGGGTGCTGATTTTTACATGAATTACAAAATTCCAAAGTTAAAAGATCAAATTGTAAAACTATACCAATTTTTAAGGCATGATTTTAAGAAAACGGTTCATCTGACGGGAAATTCCAATAAAACCTTTTTTGTAGAGCATTTAATTTTCTTTAAAAAATATTCCTAAGTCAATTTTGTTAAACTCAATGGTTTGCGACAAAAACTCGCTCAGGAAAAAAAATCTAATGCTTCTTTATAAACGATGTTGGCCGTACTTTTTTCACTTTCTAATACAACAACGTTTGTGGCAACAATGAAAAAATAGTTTTTTTTTTCAAAAATAAAAAAATCCTATATTGCTTTCTAAAAAGCAATGAAAGTCCTGTCAAAATCGATTCAGTTGCATCGGAGATTACTCCGGCCATTTTTACTTTAACCATTGAGTAAAGTGTTTACTCAATGCTTTAACTTTTATTTATATGTATAGATTAGAGATAACGAAGAGGACTTTTATTACTCGAATTAATATTTAAATTTCAACTTTAACTTATAACCTTAATTTTTAATTATAAAACAATAAATGTGTCTACGCGTTTGAGAAAATATTCCTCACTCGAGTCCCAAGTTACAAAACAGGAACAACTAGGAATAAGTTGAGTGATTTTACATGTGTAGGTACACATAATTAACACAAAACATGTTTTGATTCTGACTCGTTTGTGAGAAAATTGTCATGGCAACTGGTGAAAATGTATTGTGTTATGGTGTTAAAAGATGAAAATATAAAAAGGGAATCTTTAATACAAATGTTTAACGTTAGTCATTTACTTGTACATTTTAATATAAAGTTAATTTTTTTATCTGGACTGCGGCAACGTTGCAAATTTAGGGTTTTGGTTGGTAAATACAGTTGTGAAATTGGTCGCATTAAATAAAACAAACTAAGCCAGTTATAAATCTAATTGTGGTTATGTATAAATTATTTTATGTTACATTGTGCAGTTGTCAAGTTGAGTTGTCGAAATTCGTAGTTAAAAATGCAATTAATTTGGCTTTGGTGGTGCTTGGATGAGTAAAATCATATAAAAAAGTAGTTAAATATATGTTGCTTTACGGCCTAGAAGAGAAAGTATTCCTAGCGGATAATAATCTTCGCTTTGAAAAGAATTTATATAAAAGAAATTAAAATTTTTTGTGAACGTAAATGTTGTCCAATGGTGAATAATGTGAAAATAATGTGTGATGTAATATTTATAAAACCAAATTCGTTACTTTTTTACTCCAAAAATGTCCATAAGGCGATGTACTTTTTCTTTCATTGTGGCATTTGGCATAATTTCATCAAAATGAAGTTTTGCCCTCAAAAGGGCTTTTACATTCGAATTGGTTGCTATTATTTTTGGCATAATTATCTTTTTATTTATAATTGACAATTATCAATAATAGATATTATTGTCAATTTGACAGTGTCAAAGTATTTAATTAAATTCTTTAGCAGAAGTGCCATTTTTAAATACTAAAAAGTCAAACTGGCATAAGCTACCAACCTAACAAAAAAACAGGGAACAAAAATGTTATGAATTTTTCCTACGTTTCTTACCCTTATTATTTTTGCCACTATCAGATGATGACATTTTGTAGTTTACACTCAAACAGCATGTAATACCAACTAAGCGCTTTCATGAGCTTGACCACCTTAAACTTTTACTATATCTATGATGTCCATAATCAATAAGGACATTAGTTTAGGATAAGAACAGTACTAGTCCAATTGGCTCTGGGAAACACATTAACAAGTTTTAATAATATTCTTCTACTCCTTTCATGCAGCTTCGCATTAAAAAAAAATGGCTATTTCAGATGAAAATGTAAAATTTTGGACTTGTACTTACTGTTCTTATTCTCACCGATTTAATTATTGTATAATGGATGTACCGATTAAAAAAATATTTTGATTTTTTATAAATAATATAATAATAATACCTCCGTAATATTTCTTAATGCTTCTTCCTCGTAATGTAAAATGATTATGAAATTTTCTTGTTAAGCTTGTATACTTTTTTCGCCACTTTATACCGCCGCACGTAAGGCAAAATGATGTTTTTACGGCGTCAAAAATATTTATGATAGGCAAATGTCCAAACAGTGTTTTCCTTAGCTATAGCTAAGTATACTTTTATTGTTTTTGTATAAAGGAAAACACTGGAAAACACCCCAAACCCGGTTTGGGGTAAGCACCGTGCATAAAACAAAATAAAAATAAGTTGCTATATAAGTGTGTGTGCAAAACGGCTAATACACATCCGAAATAGATACTTTTGTGAAGAAAGCGCCTCCGAAATCGGAGGCCAATTGGAAAGCAGTCAATTCGACTTGGATACACATACAGTTACACAATCCGGTTCACCGTTCTTACGATGAGGGCGCCACTGTTTACCAAATTTAGTAGGTATACCAATTGATGTACCTTCGAACATTTTCTATTTAACAGAAATTTGGCAACAGGGTACCGCGGCCATTTAATGCCACGAGTATACATATATCTGTAAATGTATCTTATTAAAAAAAATATTATAATATTTTAATACGTTAATGAAATAATGATATACATTGTATGATTTGATTTCTGAAAAAAATAAAGGTATTATTATTAAGAATTATCTATGGGTTTAAACATTAAATACAAAGTGAAATTCTGTAAACTGCTCAAAATGTATTCATATAATCGTTTATAACACTTTTTAGCTCCACAACTTAAAAATAAAGACGAAAACACTTAAATGTGGAAGTATGTGGAAACAAAAATAATTTCCTCGTAAAACCGATATTCAATGCCATTAATTAAACTGGCACTTAAAGCGAAACTTTGCAAAACTTTTTTTATAACCTTTTATCAAGTTTAATAATAAACTAAACAAAGCAAATTTTACTCTGCTTAGATAATTGGATATTTAGAGAAATTAGATTTACATCGTATTTAAAAATAAATAAATATTTGGGAACATTTTGCTATGTAAAAAAACTAATATTTTTGTATTCTGGTTTTTTAACTTCTGTCGGCGTAAATACCTCATTTTGCCTTACGTGCGCCGTCAACAAAGTTTGAACTTTAAATCGATATATTTTAAGCAAGCTGTAGTCTATTAATAAATTGCATCGCATAAAATAAAACCGCATTCGAAATTAATAACCCAACAAGAACTGACCGGCTAGATTATCAAAGAGCTGTTTGCACGTTTAATTACCCATCAAATCAAACGCTTGTCGAAATCTTTTCCCGCACCAGATATATTAATTGATTAATCAAGCGAAAAAAACCGGGTTTGCGGACACCAAACTACCGAAACAGGCGAATGGATTATTCCCGTGGGGTTAACAAAGAGGGTTGCGTGCAGATATCAGATGTTGTTTCCTTATGTTTAACAATTTTGAAAAATAACGAAATGCATAAACTAGGTTGGTATATAAGAAAAATGAGGGTACAAATTTTGATAATCTTATACACTGTTCAAAATTTCATCACCAAATTAAGACCATACATGGTCTATATCTAATACTAAAATAGTGTAAATTTAACTTTCACACAGTATTAAAATAAATATTACCTGGTGTAAATTGAACTCCTTTTCAGTGTTAAATATTATGTGTTTTTGGTCAAATTAAATCATACTACACAAAAGAAAAGAAAAAAAAAGGAAACAGAAGCTTATATACTCTTCAGTCAACAGAGGCGAGATTTAAGAACATCACGTGATCCACACCGCCTTTGCCGCGATCGGTACATACTATGCAACCAGGAATGCACGGCAAATTGTTTTAATCGTTTTAACAGAGTGCTTTAGGTTGAAGTAACTCTTATTTTACAAACAAC